GTTAAATTGTCCTCATGTTGAGACAGTGAAACAGTGAGAAGGTCATTTTTTGTCCTTAACTAAAAATGTCTTCTACTGTTGTTCTTTATTCCTGAGACAGAAAACATACAGTAGAGCAGGTTTTAATGGCAAAATAAAAACAAGCAAACCAAAAACCAAAGATGCAATTGTTTCCTCCACAGAGACATTGTTTTTGGTAAAGAACACAAAGAATGGAGTGGTTGGTCTGTGACAGGAATAGAGTATGTTTCAAGGCCCCAAGTAAAAAGTCTACAATAGAGAAATGGTACAAGCAGACAAAACTGTCTGTCTGTCTGTGGAACTGTAGGCTTCAAGTGAGACCACCACACTATATAGAATTGGGTAACTTGGGGTGTTTCGCAGAAATGGCAGATATATTTTATTGTTGTTTTGTATCATCAGAACCTGATTAGGGTTACTGACTCCCCTAGGTGTCCCACAAAGATTTATAGACCCAAGCAAAGAGAACAGATTCTATGATTCATTGTACCTGACATTATCCCATTAAAGGGTTAATACAAGAATTAAATCAGTAATCAGTATAAGCATCTTCAAACATATGGGCATCTCATTATGTATCTTCATTGTTGCAATTATTTCAGGCAACTCCGGAACTTGTTAATTCTGTACAAGCTATGTTTATTTTCATCACTTCTGGGTTCCATACTTAAAAGTAGCAAATCCAAAAAAAAAAAATCGAAGATAATCTAACAGTTGTGAAGAAAAAAATTATATAGACACATGTGCTTACATCCAAAAGCATACAGTTATGCCTACAGCCTAGACTGTAGGCTTAAAATACAGTACTTAAAAAGCCATAAAAACTGAACTTAAGCTTTGAACAAATACTGAAGTCAGAATACATGTCAGCTGGAAGCTTGTAACTACACGCAGTCCAGACAACAACTTCAGTCATATTGAATCAAAAATATAAAAAGCAGTAAAGCACAGGAGCTCATAGCCTACAAAGGCAGATAATTCATCTTTAGAACACTTCAAAGTTCTTAATAATAAAATTATAACAAGCAAAAAGCCTTGTAAGTTTCAGTGAAAGGCATGAGAAAGTATCTAAACTTTTAAATGTAAAAAAAATTACAAAGTAAAAAAGCATTATTAAGCTCTAAGCATTAAGTTAACAGATAGGAGAAAAAAAATTTTCTCACCAAGCCTTCACCAGTTGAAATAAATGGGTATGTTATTCCTGTGGTCATTTCCTGGCCGCTCTCAGGCCGTCTGTATCTTCCACTTCCTTCAGATAGAATGCCTCTCCATTGTATAGCCTAATGCTGCATCATTTGTTTATACTTTTCAACCAATTACAGTGGTGCCTTGCTAGACGATTGCTCTGTAAAATGAGGAATTTGCTAGACAATAACTTTTTTTGAGCAATGTTGTGCTTCACAAAATGATTGTTCCTATGGGCAATTTTTGTTGGACGATGTTTGGGTCCTTGCCTCGCAAGTTGGGTTTTTTTACCCTGTTTCACAAGACAGTTCCCCCCCCAATTGGAACACATTAATTACATAAGACCTACTTTTTGGGGATAAAAAAGTAGGTCTTGTGTAATTAATGTGCTTCAACGGGGAAAAAAATCATCTTGCAAAGCATCACCAATGGGGCTATGGCTGCAGATTTAAATGGTAGAGGATGGTGAAAACAGCCAAGAACCAAAGGGTAAAGAGATTGTTTAAAAAAAAGAAACCAGAAATCAAAAACATAATGCCACCATTAACACAAATTATGTAGTTGAGTTCTTCACATTTGGGGAAATCACAGGGGTCAACAGCACACCCAAAGTGCAATGGATAAGCCTCTCCTTGGGAAAACCATTTTTACAACATGGTATTTCCCCTACAAGGTATGAGTTAGAATGGCCCTTGCATCTCCTATCCCCTTCTGTCCCCTAACCCCCCAAGTTAAGGTGACCCCCTGGCTGCACCTCCCACTCTGTACAGGGCTGCACAGTCCCAGTCCTGCCAGAGGTAGGTACAGGGCTGCACAGCCCCAGTCCTGCCAGAGGCCAAGAGAGCTATTCAGTGTTTTTGGGTGCACTAGAGGATTGTGGGAGGAACACCTAGCCCCTGATGGGGGTCCCGCAGGGCACCCCAAAACACTGAGGAGCTCTCTTGGCCTCTGGCAGGACTGGGGCTGTGCAGCCCTGTACGAGTGGGAGGTGCAGCCAGGGGGTCACCATGACTTGTGGGGTCAGGGGACGGAAGGGGGGTTGACTCCTTTTACCCTCTTTCTCTCTCCAGCAACAGAGACAGTTTCTTTGTTGCTGGAGAGAGAGAGGGAGAAGGCTATCTGAGACCCATTGAATTTCCAAAGGCAGTGCAGGTGAGGAGGACTGCTTTTCCCCAATATGGTATGGGGAACTGTGTTTTGCAAGACGATGTTTTCTATGGACAATTTTCACAAGACAGTGATTTTTCCCCCCAATTGGAACGCATTAAATGGATTTCAATGCATTCCAATTGGGGAACTGGGTTTTACAAGACGATGTTTTCACAAGACAGCGATTTCCATGGAACGAATTAAAATCGTCTTGCGAGGCACCACTGTAGAAGCCTACATGTTTAAGGTCAGAGGCTTCTTATCTCAAAACTTTCTCCTCCCAGACTGAGATCAGCTCAGCTCCTGGCATCACCAAGGCTTGGCCTGTCAAGCTCCTTGAGAGCCCAGTGCCTGGCCTGGCTTGCTCCTGGCCATCAAGGTCAGAGTGAAATCCCCCTCCCTTGAATGACATGATTTCCTGACAGTGGAGTATGTTGAGTATAGTCCAGTGCGATACTAATGCCTATTCATTCATAAATACTCCAGAATAGATACTCATTTATACCTTCTTCAAAACACTGTTAATCATGAGGCTATAGCTTTATAAATCAAATGACACCTTTCTTTTTCTTCTCTACTTGCTTATCATTTAGCAAGCTGCTTAAAATGGCATTCATCCTTTTTTCCTTATGTGCTATTTTGAAAACACTTCTATTTTACAATATATTGTTATTCTCATTTATTTAACATAGGTTTCCACATCTATTTTGTGGCATCACTTTATCAGTTTACGTTATAGGTAAACATAACTCAAGCAGCAAAATAGACTGCATTTCATTTCTCCCCTCTTCTCTCTGATTCACATAACGTAAACACTCAATTGTTTACTTTTTTCACTGTGAAAACTGGCATGAACTGAACGGGCTATTTCTGCCTTGTTCTCTTATCAGTTACTTTGTGTTCTGAAAACAAACTGGCTGTTCGGTAAACAATTTACCCCAGCTGTAGTTTTTCAACAATACTTTCACTTTTAACACACCTCTTTAAGCCTAACGTAAACACTCAGTTGTTTACTTTTTTCACTGTGAAAACTGGCATGAACTGAACGGGCTATTTCTGCCTTGTTCTCTTATCAGTTACTTTGTGTTCTGAAAACAAACTGGCTGTTCGGTAAACAATTTACCCCAGCTGTAGTTTTTCAACAATACTTTCAGTTTTAACGCACCTCTTTGAGGCATCTTTTAAAAGGCAGTTTTCATTTTTAGGGCACCATCTTGGCACCTCACACTTTCAGTTTTAACGCACCTCTTTGAGGCATCTTTTAAAAGGCAGTTTTCATTTTTAGGGCAACATCTTGGCACCTCACATCACTTTTTTGAACTCATGTTTGACTTAGGGCCTTTACCGTTATCATCTTCTTAGAATAGCAGAGTTGGAAGAGACCCTATGGATCATCAAATCCAGGCCTTGTCAAATAAGCAAAGTAGTGAATCAAACTTCCAGCCGCTGGTTCTGTAGCCAGAGGCCTGGGTCACTGAGCTGTTCAGCATTTCTTGTTCAACGAGTAGTTTTATTACTGTCCTCCCTGCTTTCTATGAGTGATTGGGGGTTTGAACTTGCGTCTTCCAAAACCTAATCTGGCACACTATCTATTGCACCACACTTTTATTTGGGAAAAAGATGGCAGATCTTTCTGCAAGATCCTTGTGTGCTTTGAACCCTATTTATCTCTATTGTTTTTAAGTTTTGTTGCTTAAAACTCTGCAGGAGGGTTTGAATGAAATATTGAAACAAACCTTCAGCTGCTGAATATATCACCTCACCATCTTGCCAAGAACTTTTGTACTTTACAACTTTCCTGGCAAAAATTCACCTTGCCATGAACTTTTGGACTTTCAGTTCTTCACACTGGTACATACCTGACAAAGTGGATGGTCCTGATCGAATAAAGCTCACTGATTGTATAATGATTTTTTAAAGTGGTCTATAAAGCTTTCACCTACTCTTGCATTTGTATTTTGTATTGCCCATGTGGCTCTCTTTGATTTCACTATAAAGAGCTACTGAGCCACCACCAGGACTGGTGGGATCCTAGGATTTGCAAATTCTGCTATCATTATAATTTTCCCAAATTGCATACTCCAAAAATTCTTTCAGGCCATTGTGGGTAGACAAGGCAAAACAAAACAGAAGCCACAATAACTCAGTTTCTTCTGTTGACAAAGGTTCAAAACAATGAAATGGAAGGAACATTCTGTGTTGGGGAAAATAAGATGGTGGCTGTATAGGGCCCATCATAAGTAACCACAGTAAATGGAAAAAGGCCAGATATTCATTGGTGTTTAACAGGAGAATCTGATTGTAAAATGCATCTTTTTGTCATTTTTCTCTTAATACAAGCATTATAAAAATATGTGGTCCTACCTTCTGCATCACGCCACTGCTTTGCAAAGGTTTGCAGAAGTACATATCTTTATGCCTGTCATTTATGGATGCAGTGTGCCATCTGAACAGGCGCACCCTCTGTTTGTGTGTAAGCACTGGGCTGAGTTTTTCAATTCTCCTTGGTTTCAAAAGGATTTAAGCAAACATTGTGTATTTCTAGATAGCACCTCTCATGTTTGAATTAAAAGCTTAGGTAGTTGACTGTTAGGGAATTGTAGTGTATAAATCCTTTCTAATACAAATTCTGCTTGTTGTTGTAGGTGTGGTTACAAAAGTACGGCTATCTTCCACCAACTGACCCTAGAATGTCCGTGCTACGCACTGCAGAGACAATGAAATCTGCTATAGCTGCTATGCAGCAGTTTTATGGCATTAACATGACAGGAAAAGTGGACAGGAACACAATTGAGTAAGTAAACATTACTAAATCACTCCTGACCTTTGAAGCAGCTGGGATGTATGCTAGAATTGCTTGAGGCCTACCAATGGACAACTAACCAGAACTCAACAGTCTTAAATGTACATAACAACTAGGATATCTTTTCTATTGATAATGGTATGGTTAGTATGTATTGGGGAAGGGACAAGTAGCTATAGATGTGCACTGAATGCTTCAGTGAGAGTCCATTTCATAACAAGGATTCAGGCAAAATATGATGGGAAACAGGTCTTGAAACAATAAACCACTAAGTCCTAGATACTTTTGTCTGAAAATAAATGTAAAGTAGGAACTAGCATCCTGCCAACCAAAAACAACAACTTGCTGCTCCTTCTGGAAGTGAAAATGAAGATCACTGGTAAAAGTTATTTAGCTGTACAGAACAGTAAATGTTTGTGATAGATCATGAAGTATGCAAAGAAAAAAATTCTAAATGATACAAGTTATGTAGAATTCATTCGCGTTATTCCCAAGTAGGTTGTCACTCATTTATTTCCAGTTAGTACCAGTCCTTTGCATTGTCCTTGTCAATACCAGTCCCCTCAGGCTGATGGAAGGTGGAGACAAGTTGATGCCTCTTTCATTTTGCTTTCTTTCTCCATCTTTCTTACAGCTTTGCTTTCTTCCACGTTGTCAACATCTAGATTATATGCTCCTTGGAAGAAATTCTTTTTTGTCTCCTCGCTCTTTATATTCAAATACAGAATGGCTACTGATATCATAAAGATAAATGCAAGTAATAAGACATGGCTTATATTTGTTGATTTCAGTGGAATGTAAGCTTATGTGATTGGGCACAGAATTATCTGAAAACTTGGAAGCCAGTTCCATTGAACTCAGTGCGATTTATATTGCAGTCAGAGTTATAGGATTCATTCATTTATTCATTTATTCATTTATTCATTCATTCATTCATTCATTCATTCATTCGATTTTTACCCCGCCCCTCTAGACAACGTCTACTCGGGGCGGCTAAAACAAATAAGCACACACACAGGGTATATAGCAAAATTCTACTTGTTTCTGATAAATAAATACAATGCCACTGGGTCAAACCAACAGATTATCTAATTCACCACCTTTTTCATTATTACATGTGAAATGTCACTGAGGATCAGGTTCTATATTGATTTATAGTACAATTTTCAACAAATTTTAAATGGTAAATGTTGCACTGTTACCTTAATGCCAAGAGCTGTACCTGTATAGATCCTGTTTTAAAATCCATGCCTCCATCAAACAGTTTGATACAGCAGTGTCATATATCACCAATTAACTATTTAATGATCCCTGTTTATTAAATTCAAATAACATTTCCATAGTCTTCCACATGGCTTGACTTTATACCTTTCAACCTTCTTTATACTTGCTTCCTACAGTCTTTTCCATCATTTAGAACTTCCTATACTGTCAACTTCCAATCAGCTTCCTTTGCTGAATTAAACAGCTTTCTCCGAACCTACCACTGAAGTGTGACATTTAATGTGAGGCGTTTATAATGCATTCTCCCACCAAGAGCTCATTTGCCTTAGTCTGAAGATAGCAGTCTCTAATGCCTCTTCTGTTCATTAAAGCTTAAAATGTATTACTAACATCTCCCCTTCTTAAAATGCAGCCAGTACTTTCTAATTAAGCTGAGGGTAATCCGTGTTGCTGGATTGTCTAAATTCCTAAAGTTCAAGGATGTCTCTGACCCATTCACCTTCCCTTGGGGTATCCATGAGGGCTGCTTCCCTTTATTGCTTTTCAGTGCAATAATGCATGAGCGCGTGCAATGAAATGATTTTTCCAATCCGAGATTGGCATCAGCAGTTTCGGATCTGTGTTTTCTGAACTGCTGAGTTGGAGAAGAAGGAGAAAAAACACCATTAGGCCTTCCAAAAACAAAGTAGCACTTTGAATCCGTTTTGGAAACAGAAAGGAAGGAGCGAGAATTCATTTTCACTGCTCTTTTTGCTGAGTTTTCGGAATCACATATGTAATGTTTTTAATGTAATGAACAATAGAAATCCTTTAGCGTTTCCTTGATCAATGGATCAAATTAGAATTAGCTGCCTTTTCAAGACTGTGGTCTTCTGAAGGCAACTCAGGAGATGCTATCTAACATTTTTCTTTGTTTTTATTTTTCCTCTTTTCTGTCATGAATAACATTGTGGTAGCATATGAATTATTTACCCAGGCTGAATTCTCATTTGTAATGTTTTTATACTCAAAGGGGGTTAATCTTGTCAACCCTTCACAAATCCCTTCTGTGACATTTCCATATTAACCTGTAGAAGTGTTCATGTAATTGACACAAAATGCATGTCTCTCAGCATGTATTTCAATGTGCATTTTAACCTGGGTTTTTTCCTCACAGTATTTTAGTATATTTTTGAACAAACAACTTCATCATAAAACTATGAAATCTGAATAGTTGTATTTGGATGGAAGTTCCCTTCAGTTCTTACCAGGCTTTGGAAATCAAGTATCCCTAATGGACTCTTGATGCCACTATAGTACATTCCCATCTTTATGCACAGAGAGTTAGCTGCCACTTTTCCAATCCCCCAAAATATATTAAACAACAACAAAAATTACTGAAGTTGGTTGCTGCTGAGAGTAGGAATACTGCTGTGCTATTCTCTCAAAGAAACTGAATGAAAATCCACTCCTTCCACTTCCAATTTTGTGCAACTGGGTTTTCTGTGTTGTGATGGATCTGTTCACACATTGTGAAGTGTGTGCAGGGCTGACCCTTGCAATGAAGTGAACAAAAGAAAAATTTCCATTCATGTGAAGTCAAGGTTAACACATATTTCGGTGATTTTGCAGTGCACGCCAGAGTTCTCACACAGTCTAGTGGTTTAGAGCAACTGGTTTAGAGCAACTGGCCTTCAAAGAAACATAATGGCATATGAAAGACTGGGTAGCAATTACTTGTTTTTGCAGCCATCCAGCTCCAAGATATTGATAAACTATCTAACTACAGCTTAAGTCAACACAGAATATAGGACAGATACTAGAGATGGGCATGAACCATGGTTCAGTGGTTTGGCCCACTTTGGTGCAGTGCCCACACAGGTGTTCTGTGGGCACCACACATTTCCTCCCCTCACCTCCTCCATGTGATTGCCCACTCGCTGGATGCATCATGCTTCCCTCCCTTGCCTTCTCCACGTGATCACCCATTCATTGCCTGCAGCTCACTTTCCTCTGCCTTGCCCACCTCATCGTCCACTCAGGCGAGGAGGTGGGTCAGGGAAACCCATGACACTGCCAGCGAGTGGACAGTTATGCGGGGAAGGCAGAGGAGGGAAGTGTGTTGCAGTCCGTGAGTTGGCAGTTGTGCAGAGAAGGCAGGGGAGGGAAATGTGCAGCAGCTGGTGGTGTGGACAATTGTGCGGAGGAGGTGAGGGAGAAGCGCACAGCACCTGCAGAACACCTGTGCAGGCATTGCACTGAACTGGGCCAAACCGTATTTTGTGGCCATCTCTGAATTACATACCATAAATACAGTAACAGTCCTTCAGGATATGGCCCTTAACAACTGCTATTTTCTGACATTTAAGGACTTGCGTAAACATAGGTGTCTCATAGGTGTTTATCATCACATGTTAAATTGAAAGGCATTGTGTTACCTGAAATGGCTTAAGAATGGACTTTTCTATAACTACAATTCCCAAGTTTTCACTAGGAAACTCAATTGGGAAAGAAAGAGGCCTTGTGCAGAACCTCCAGATGCTCGAATTGGCCTGCTTGCAGGTCAGCTGCTCCCCCATCCTGTTCAAAATACAGCATCTTCCCCTCTGTCCAGAAATAGGCAGGGCTTGTGTTTTTGTACCTGATCTGGAGAACGTGAGAGGAAGTATGAGTTCTGCTGATGCACATCGATCCCATAGGCTCTGTGTCTGAGTTGGTGAAGATGGTCTCAGAGACAGTACGAATAACCTTCAGGGATTTGGTTACGGAGGACTTCATTGTACACAAGAAGGCTAGCATGTCTAGTGTGGTTTTGAATGCCATGGTTTCCATGATAATTGTGGGATTAGATTTGGCTCACCAGATGGATGGCTGACCTTGTCATATGTAGTGGTGGCATATGATATAATGGTCTGTTGGTAAAATAACCTGTACAGATTGTGTAACCACAAACAATTTATTATCTGATTCAGATTGATTTCGTGACTCATGACCACCCTGTTTGGATATATGTGGGTGTGTCCTTATATAGGATATATAAGGGCTCAAGGAGGATGGAGCTGTTCTGATATCCACTGACAGGTACTGGTGCATCCAAAGGGAGATGGTGCACGCTCAGCTGGTGGTCCTGCTGATGCCTCTGTTTCTGTCAAGAATAGGGAAATAACCAAGGCCCTTAATAGAGTCACATCGGAAGGTATTTTACCCAATGGTTTTCTGGAAAGCTGCAGGCAATGAGTCAACAGCTAGAACATAGGTAGGTGGTGACAGATTTGTGGCAAGTATAATGAACACATAGTAATTTCACTACCATAGTTCTCTGTGGTAACCAGCAGACTTTTTTCCCCCCCAATAGTGAAAATTCTTCTCCATATTAACCAGCATAATCAGTTAATAAAGGCTTCAAAGGCCTGTGACCAGTTTGCATTGCATTTTTCAGATAAGGTAACTCTCATTCATTCCAGTTTGAATGTTTGTTCAGATTAGAGATAGATGCATCTGGAACTCTAGCTGCCCATCATTTGTTGGATACTTTTCAGCTTGTGAACTTTAGGGTCTAGGCACACTACTTTGAAGATTAACATCTATGATTTGCTCTTGGGATCCCCACTTTTCTTACCTCATCAGTGCCAACGTATATAGTCTACTTGTGTATTAGTATGCAATGCTTTGTATGAGTGTATGTCTGTACATGCAGTAGCATTGATATACCGTACCTCAGACAGAGAGTCTGTGTTATAACTGCTTACTTAAATCTAACAGTAGTAAAGTATTTAGTACAATTCCTGAAATGATACTTTGGCCACTGGAACAGACAGAAAAGCTTTTTTCCAGTGTGTAGAAGGGTAGGGGAGACATAAGTCTTTGCATTTAAGAGTAATTGAAGTTGGTTTTATAAGTTCTTTAGAAGATAAATACTTACAATGAGATGAAAGGATATTGAATAGAACTTGAATATTGATTGCCTACCTGTGGATTCTTTCTTCTGTGCTAAATCTTTTCCATGAGCACAAAGCCCTTTATGATCCAAATAGTGTTCTCTACAAAAATATCAAATACTTTACAAAGTCCTGGAGCAATTTTCCACCATACCTTTGAAGCTAAGGGTTGAAATAGGACATTTGGATTATCTGAAGGCTTTATCTGCATATTACCTGTAACAGCAAATGTTATAGTTTAATATGGATCCCACTGACTTACTCATAGAGGACTTGTTCAAACAGAAATTTTCTGCTTACCTAGATGAAATTTGTAGTATACAATTGAGAGCACAGGAAATATCTTAAACGTAAAATAGATTTCATTTTATGGCTTGTGCTACACATAGGTAGTTAGTTGGACATACAGAACATCCCACAACAGCTTTTTGGTCATGCAGGAAACCACAGTGGGAGTCTACAGATACCATTCTTTTATATTTTCAGTCTCCCATTAAGGGCTATTGAAGATGTATGAGACCTTAACTAGAGAAGTTGGGTGGTGACCATGTGTTCATGAATTTATCTCCCTCTCCCTAATTTTCCTTTACTGAGAAGATTTGGTAGAGGTTTTAGCAGCAGTAGGGTTGATTTACTGGTCGTTGACTGTAATCAAGTATTCTTCCTCTTCTTCTAGAGTTGATCAGGTTTACCACTGTACTGTAACTGGAATTCAGACTATGATTTCCAGCATTAATTAAATGCTGATTAGTTTTCGTTATAGTTACTGATTTTGGCAATGTAACCCTTAATCCTCCCCACTCCTTACTTGGTATGGAGCCCTAGTACAGTGATAGAACACATACTTTGGATGCCAAAGGTCCAAGTTTCAACCCCCCAGGATCTCTAGGTAGGATGGAAAAAGCACCAACCTGAAAACCAGAAGAGCCACCACCAGTCAGTGTTAACAATGCCAAGCTAGACTGACTACTGTAGTGGGCTAACTCACAATAAGGCAACTTACTTTGGTGGGTTGTTTTTTTGGGGGGGAAGAGGCAAAGTTTCTTTGCAAGCATGGCTGAGCACATTTTGCTGCCTGGAGAAGAGGGTCATCTATTCCATATTTAAAACAGATAAGCAAAAAAACCCAAAGACTTGTGATGAAACAGTGGTATCTACTACATCTGAGAGTGTCAGGCAAGAATAGGGAGTACAGCTCTGCATTCCAAAACCACACTGCCTTTTTCTGACCATCAGCATCTGCAACTGAAGTAGCTACTTCGCTCTTCCTGATGAGAAGATGCCTGTCTCTGTGTAAAGTACTGTAATAATTATCCAAGATTTTTAACTATCCTAAAATGCTAAAATACATTGACTGAGATCTTTTGACACATATAGCTGAAATTAGTGTTTACATATCTTTATGTTTTTAGTAAAAATATTTTTCTGACCATCAGCATCTGCAACTGAAGTAGCTACTTCACTCTTCCTGATGAGAAGATGCCTGTCCCTGTGTAAAGTACTGTAAAATGCTAAAATACATTGACTGAGATCTTTTGACACATATAGCTGAAATTAGTGTTTACATATCTTTATGTTTTTAGTAGAAGCAACTTTGCCTGGCTTTTGACTTATTTTAGTTACTGCATATCTCTGCATTTTGACAATGGTTTGCTTTAGTTATCTCAGGGTTTTCTATAATAGTACTTTAATGTTTTTGAGCCACCCTGGGGACCTTTATAGGGTGAAAAGTTGATATATAACTTATTTTAAAATTAAGCACCCAGCTTCCATTTTGGAATGATTTCTTGCTGTGCTCAAATTAAAAATTATTCACATTTTCTGTGTATGTGCAGAGTATTTCTAACACAGGATAATAGTTCTGTTTTTGCTTTATTCCTTGCCTCTTTCATTTGATGTAGTGATATCACCTTAAGGTGAGAGCATCTGTTTTTTGTTATTTGATTACTGCAATGTGTTTGAGTGCTTCTTCTTGGTGTGATGTATGAATAGTTTAAATGCATGAAAATTGCATGCTATCTTAACATTTGTTCAGACTAGATGCTCAACTCTTAGCAGACTGTAGATATGTATGTTTGTTTTAAAAATATAAATCACGCCTATTTTAAATGAGCCGCCAAATGGAATCATATTTACACATGGAGGGAAAGATCTGAAGGTTTTATGGAGACTGCAAGAGGAGAGGAAGTGCTGCATCACCTACTGTTCCAGGATTACCAAAATTGTCTGCACTGAACATGATCTGTAATTAATTTTAATGCATTTGTAACAGTGGGTTTAAACCACATCCAAAAATTTCAAATTGCATTTTCCTAGAATAAAATATCTAAATATATACCTGGTAATTTTAACTGAAGTTGATTTGCTAAGCCCATTCAAGACAGGTGATTAATGTACTTCTTATTCAGAGCTTTATGTGCCAAAGGATAGCTGCCAGGTTTTGACAGATGTGCTTATACAGCTTTATGGAGATAACCATAAAGCAAGGTGTTTCAGATTATTTGGCCTTCCTGCAGTGCACATAGGAGCTAAAAGCGATTGCACAATTGACTAAATATCAGAAGGCCATGACCTCTTTCATTCATTGCTTAACGTCCATCATGGAGGTAGAGTGGTGACAGCATAGGCCGATTGCTTATGTTGCAGCCCTGTGCCTATCCGAGCATAAGCCTTCTATTCAGAAATTACAAAGCTGCTCAAATTCACCAGCAGTTTCTAGCTGTGATGTTGGAGACACCACATTTTCACCACTATATATTGGGAGTGGATTTGCTCTAATTCTGTTCATTCTGGCCCTAAGGGTGCATCCCCATGATATCATTGGCCATAGTGGGCAGGGTTATGTTTTGGGGAAAAAAAGAGATTACTCTATATTGTTGGATCACTCTTCCATCTCCCCATGAACTTCAGTTCTTAACTGGCACTGCTAAACAGGTCTGAGACAAAGGTCTTTCTTAACTCTCCTGGTTGACAGCCTCTTTTTAACTGGAGTTTCCTGGAAATGAACTTTAAAATAATTTGCATGGGTCCTTTTCTTAAAGAGGGCTCTGCAATTCCTGAAATGGCATTTTTTTGAATATTTGGGTAAAAACATGAGACCTCCCCTTGATTTGAAAAGAGCTGATTTTCCTAAAGCTCATAAGAAGATTTACATTTCAAGGTGGAGTACATAGTGTATATATACACACACAATAGGATGGAGGCAATATTTTAAAGACACATAAGCAAAGCAGCATTATGTGTTCTCTAAACATTTAGTAAACCTGCTCCATGAGGTATCTATTTACAGAATTAGCAATTTGAATGCACACCTAAGATTTCTTGATTTTGATCAAACCCTTGCATTGGTGTTTCTGTAAATCTGCTCACTATTGTTTGTTAAAGAAAGGATCTGTTTCTTTAGCACATTAATGGTTTCGTTGGAACATTCATTTTAAATTCAGAGCCTGCTCTTATCACAGTAAGCATACATGGTTTCCATTGTGACATAGGCCAAAGACTTTTTTTAAAAAAAATCTTTTTCACTAGTTATTGAGCTCAAAGCTTCTGTTGGGCAGGAGAAAAGATAGTTACCTCTGTACTCTGTATACCAGAATTTGTAGTGTTAAGTGACAGTTTGACATAATAAGCCACAATCCAGAGGGTTCATTGTAAGAACTTACATATGCCCAGTTAGATTGATGACATTTTTCTTTGATAAGCGATTTCCATCCTTTTCTTTTCTGTGGTTTGCTTTGTAGCATGATGGACTGCCAATTTTGGAGGTGTGGTGCATATATCTGTGTGTGTGTCCGTGCACACCCTTGGGTGTTTGGGTCTGGTTTTCTAATTCTATGCATTCTGGTCTCTGCATGCAGATTGTCATATTTTTATTTCAGACAGTATTTAAAAGTGATCACCTGGATAGGGACTTGTCTTAGAAGTTAGACAGGCACCCCCAGATTAGTTTAGATTCATTGAACTTTGCTATTTTCCCCACATAGCATAGATATTTGAATATTTAACATGGCTCTCTGGCCTGCATTGAAACAGGATCCTTAATTCCACGACTTGATAACTTTTTAGCCTTTCTAGACGAGTGATTGTATAAATTTACTCCAGTTGAATATAAAAGCAAATGAGCTTTTCCATAAACTAACAGGGCAATACATAACATCTGAGGGAATTTTGCCTGCTAAAATTACCTTGCAAGTTAAATCAGACGTTGCCCAGTTTTATTTAATCTTTTGCAGCCCTCATGCTCTCTTTACAGTACTTGAAATCTTCCTGTGGCACTCATTTACTTTCCTCTAGTTGTGAGCCACTTATGTCTGATTTGCAAATATGTTTCACCACACAACCACCATTTATGGTGCGAAAAATACGGTATGTTTCACCACACAACCACCACTTTAACAAGGCACACTCCATATGAATGGTATGGCTAGAACTGATCACTTGGTTCTTTCCTGAAGATGCCACCCCACTTTTCATGCTGCAGAGAGAACTATTCCTGCAGCATCACTGTTCCTCTGGGAAACTATAATTTACTAATTAGGGTTCTTGCTCTAAATTGAAATTAATGTGGAGCTCAATTACGTTAGAACATTTCTGGATGTCTGAGGAAATGAAGTGGATCATATTCAGGCGGAATGGCTTGAAAAAGAGAATGGCACCTGTACTCAATGGCCAGAATCCAGCAAAAAGTTCAGCACATTTCAGCCAATGGAAATCAATTTGGTGTCCTAGCTCTGCATTGGATTATATCCAAAGTGTAAAATTAGACTAATTAAATCAATAGTTGTTTGTTTGCATGTGAATGTTCTTGCAGTTTACTAGTGCACATTGGAAATTGAGAACAGCCTCCTAGAACTGGGGCTGCCATCTTTTCACCACAGTTTCTCATGGGAAAATACAGACAGTGTAACCATGGGTTGTTTCAGTGGGACATTATTGTCAGCAGGTTAAATGTGGGTCCCTAGTAACGGTGGTGTTTATAAAGTAATAAACCAGCAGGTGGAAACATTGGTATTTGATGGTAATTAAAGCCTGATATTATCTTACACAGCTGTTAGATTTTTCAGAGTAGAGATTCTGCATATCTGTATTTCTTTACCTGATCCACCACATTACCTGATCTGCCATTCTTCCGTCTTTATGCAACATTAGATGACTGCCTATTTGCATGGTTCTCAGTGCAGTCCCTGCCCTCCCAGGTCCTGTTATCAGCATGCAGGGATAATAGCAGAGTACAAGAAAGATTGCAAAAGGGACTGGAGAGTTAGATTAAGATACCTCGTTCTCTCACGGACGTGGTATTTCAGTCAGTGTACTGCTACACATCGGTAGTCATAATAATAAAAAAAGGATGAGTGCTTAAACTTGCCTTCCTTTGCTGTTGCTTTCTTCTTGTTTCCAGTGCTGAGTCTGAAGTTCTTCTGTGTAGGTTTTACATGTGACTCAAGAAACCAGATTCTGAAATCATTTTTTGCTAGGCCCCTCTGCTGCCGTCAGACACATAATCCCATATCCTGTTGCATAGGTCTACAAATGTAGTGGGAATGACGCCACTGTCAGGAACAGATTGCTGCTAATGAAAGAACTCCTGCTTTGACTTTAAGTTGTCCGTAACTTGAATACAATGAGATGAAGCTGTGCACAACTTGAAATTGAAGAAGGGACTCTCATTTGTGGCAATCTGCTGCTGCCAGAGATGCCATTCCCATCAAGCCAGAAGAGTTACTACACAAGAATTTGGCCAGTAACTTGGAAATTGAAGGAAGGCTTTGTGGAACATTGTTTGGTAACCCAGTCCTCCCTTAGCAATAATGCCATCAAACTTCATTATCTATAGACTTACAATTTACTTTACACAGATTTCCTGGAATGTGAACAGGTGGCAATCCTACATTTGTTTTCTGTTCATCTGTGTTAAACAGGGATTATGTGGAGATATGAAAAAGATGTATCTTATGAAGAGAGAGAGAGAGAAATGTATTCACTTGTTTGTTAGGTACATTGTAAAAAAAATACTGAGACATTATTACTGCTGTCTGGTACTGATTTGTTTGTTTGTTTGTTTAAAGTTGGATGAAGAAGCCTCGTTGTGGTGTGCCTGATCAGACAAGAGGCAACTCTAGATTTAATATTCGTCGAAAACGATATGCATTAACAGGACAGAAATGGCAACACAAACATATCACTTACAGGTAGGTAATGAAGGCAAAACTGTGCTCCTTTCATGTGGAAATTGTTGAAATTCATTTTTTATAGAAAGAAAACAACAATAGATATTCTTTATCAACATCAAGATGTGGGTACATAAGCCTGAAAATATTGATTCAAGTATCTTGGGGAAAAAATAATAATCATATATTGCAAAGGCAACAAATGATTTTCTGACGTTCAAATGATCTGTGATTATATAAAAGGTTCATTTATGCTCTCAATGGCAAATTGACCTTGTGCATCCTTATAAAACTTTTAAAATATCATTCAGCCCCCTTGTGCAGAGTCAGACCTTTTCTGGGTCAATTGCTTTGCGGAGGGGTGGGGGGAGGGACAAGGTGCTAATTTGTATACACTTATTAGGTTGATGGGGGGGGAAGAATTTTATGCATTCTGGTGTTTTCAGGTCTATTCCAAAATAGCTTTTAGATGGATTAAAAACTGGCAAGCTGCTGAGAAATGTTTTCTTGGCTTCGTGTATGTATTTGTCTTACAACTTTTATAATGCATAATATAGGCAATTATAATGCCACATGGTTATAATTGATAACTGAATTCTGTTAAGGCAGGGTTGACAATTTGGTATCCTCCAGAAGTTTTGAAATTCTGTTCCTATAATTTGAAGGGGGAATAGCATATTGGTCTGTTACATCAAAAACAAGGATTCTTGTGGCATATATGGGGAATAGCATATTGGTCTGTTACATCAAACACAAGGATTCTTGTGGCATATATTAATAAGTTTTATTTGGAATAAGCTTTTGTGGACTCTTGCCTACTTTGTCACATTTCTAATATATGCATTTGTTTGCTGAGTAGCTCAGCTTAGTCTTGATGATGGAACAATGCTGTGTAAAAATTCTTTGAAGTGTTTAGACTATTTGAAGGGGTCAGTGCAGAATTTTTCCTGTAGGACTGGGAAGATGTATATCAGTGTGTAGGGGAGTTGGTAGCAGTGAGATAGTCCATTAGTTGATAATGTAGTAGAAGTACTTCTTCTTCAGTTGTTCTTTTTGGAAGAAGGCCTTCAGGTAACTGCAGGATTTTACTTTATGTATGGATTTCTTAGGGCAGAAGGATGGGTCTCATAAAAACACAGGCTCTTCTTTCTGATTTAGTTTATAGATGGATAAATCCACAATGTTGTTCAGTGCACTCAAGCCAGACATGTTGTCCTTTGTAGAGACATGCAGAAGTTTAGATAATTAAAACTCCTCCTTCTTCTTTAGAGGAACAAATGATGTGCAATCAGTTGCTTCCCTTAGTCTGGAAAATCTCTCTCTAGAGCAAGGACAGCCATTTAATTGGGACCAGTGGTCATCTTTCAAATCAAATATTTGAAGGTTGCTAGGTAGCCTGGCCCCACAACATTAAAGGCTGGACATTAAATTTATTTTGTTCAAACTTTGCTATTGTGTTTATATTCCTCTTCTCATCCAAGTAATGTATGTGCTGTCTTTTGCCTTTAACTTTCATAGGAAACCTGTGTTTTAGATTGACATACATAGTGACCAGCCCAAAATCCAGTAGTGAATTTCATTAATTTCACTTGAGCCTAAGCACATAAGAAGTAGAATGTGAGACATATGTTTAAATATAGCAGTAAACATACATTTGTTGATGCCAGCATATGTGCATTGCAAAGGGTGGGGGGTAGCCAGAAAAAATTATGCGTGGCTAACAGAAGATTTATGCAAAATATTTCAGCTTCCACCTTCTTCATTGCTCTGGTCATACTATATCTGTACAACATACTGTATATAATCAGAAACTGCAACATTGATTTTAAAAAGTAACTGTATGCATCCAAAAACAAACGTTAAGGGATAAGCATTGTTGTTCTTCAGTATAGATTAATCTGGAAAATTTCTAAACTCACATGATTTTTAAACATCATTACTCAGGCATTTTATTAGAAGTTTCTCCAAAGTAGCAAGAGAAGTTAGGACGCCAAGATCATACATTGTATATTTCAAGAAGAACGGCTCACTATAGCCATTTTACTTTCTTGGGCTCCATGATCACTGCAGTTGGTGACAGCAGCCATGAAATTAAAAGATACTTGCTTCTTGGGAGGAAAGTGATGACAAACCTAGACAGCATCTTAAAAAGCAGAGACATCACCTTGCCGACAAAGGTCTGCATAGTCAAAGCTATGGTTTTTTCCAGTAGCGATGTATGGACGTGAGAGCTGGACCATAAAGAAGGCTGACCGCCGAAAAATTGATGCTTTTGAAATGTGGTGTTGGGGGAGACGCTTGAGAGTCCCTTGGACTGCAAGGAGAAGAAACCTATCCATTCTGAAGGAAATGAACCCTGAGTGTCCACTGGAAGGACAGATCCTGAAGCTGAGGCTCCAAGACTTTGGCCATCTCATGAGAAGAGAAGGCTCCCTGGAAAAGACCCTGATGTTGGGAAAGTGTGAAGGCAAGAGGAGAAGGAGATGACAGAAGATGAGGTGGTTGGAGAGTGTCATTGAAGCGACCAACATGAATTTGACCAAATTTGACCACCGGGAAGCAGTGGAAGACAGGAGGGCCTGGCATGCTCTGGTCCATGGGGTCACGAAGAGTCGGACACGACTTAACAAATATAGCCATAATGTATATAGAGAGCAGAATGAAGAGTCGGACACAACTTAACAAATATAGCCATACTGTATATAGAGAGCGGACTGGATAGCTCAGTGGTTTAGGTATCTGGCTGCATATCCAGAGGCCAGGAATTTGATTTCCGACCCTGCCTCCTAAGAGCTAGACTATGTGGCCTCGGATGAGTCCCAGGGTGCCCCAGAAGAAGGGAATAGTAAACCACTTCTAAGTATTTTCTATCTAGATAACCCTGGAAAGCAGTTACCACAAGTCAGAAATGACTTGATGGCACATGATTATCTCATTCTTATATGGGCATGACTGTGGTAAATCCATCATCTGGTATCAATCAGTTTTGCATAACGTGTCCATGCCTAGAGAAGCCATGCAATTAAGAGTTAAATATGCAACCTCTTAAGTGTTAAAAACTAACAGTACTACTTATACAATTTTGCTTACACAGCTTTAAGTCAAATGGATTCTGGCCATTTTAGTAAGACGTTTAATGAAGAAAGATCTAGCATTTATATTTCTACAGTATTCATACTGAATTAAACTATATTAATATTAAATCCGTATTCCCCTCCCCCCTTCTATAGTAGCAATCACTCTCTTTTTCCATTTGGTTCTGCTCTGAGGACATACCTGGAATTATTCTGCTGATTTATGTTCCCTAAGTGATTTAGAACCAAGTTAGGATTTGTTCCCAATGTGCACTTACCAACATTGGATTCCATCTTCCATTTTATTAGCAGTCACTTTTTCTTTGAGATAAAGTGCTACAGATCTCACCACCATCCGTAGATTACATCTTGAATTACTTTGTATCGTCAGCAGATCTGGAAAACCGACACCTTTTTGCCAGTTAATGAATTAATGTGATTAATGGCACAGACTCTTGGACCATATTTCTGTGCATTTCTTTTTTTTATTGCCTGATATATGTATTTATTTCTTGTCTTCATCCTCTATTCTGATCGGTAACATTGACCCATGTCTTGAATTTGCTTTGTACAGAATTGTTTTCTTAATGGGTTTGAATGATTATTGAAGAACAATTTTGAGAGTCCAGTAGTGGTTCTCAAAGCATGAAGCAGTCTTGTCTTATAAATTATGGACTGTTATTGAGTCAGATTATAGGGTACTAATTGTACTTTAAGACATCTGTGTGTACCCAATTCATTTGTCTCCCTTGAAGTATTTCTCCATCTCGATACATATATTCTAAAGCCATACATACTGCGGAGAGAGCTGACAGGATTAGAGTTAGTGGTAAATGATCACTTTTCATATGATTTCCAACTGAGAAATCTTTGACCATTCACATAGTATTTGGAGTATTTTCGACAGGTATAAACCAGTCACAGAGTATGTAGCTAAGTTCTTGTTTCCTGTTGTAAAATCCCATAAAGAGGCCTTATTAATCTAGCTGCTTTTCTAAATATGTGGACATTTTAATAGTTATTTTTATCTTGTTCTTATTGTTGTGTTGTTTTGACTTGGGTCTGTGATTGTATAATAAAGAATGAATGAATAAATGAATGAATGTATTTCTTCTTCAAACTTAAAGTATTTCTCCATCAGAGTCAAGAGGAAAAGAGTTTTAGTGAGACGCCCAGGCATCATCTTATTTGTAAAGAAAGAAGAAAAACGTGACACATATTTCATGAATTCTAAACAGTTCTTCCTGCTTGGACAAGCCATAACTTAATGATTTACATACAGTGGGGTCTTGACTTGAGAACTTAATCCGTATTGGAAAGGGGTTCTTAAGTCAAAAAGTCTGTAAGTCAAGTTTCCATTGACCTACAGTGCATTGAAAACCCATTAATCCCGTAACAAGCCGTTTTTGTTCCATTTTGGTTTTTTTCTGGTCTGTAAGTCAATTCTCAGGATGCAAGTCAAACCTAAATTTTGCGGCCAGAGAAGTCTGTAACGCAAAAAGTCTGTAAGTCAAGTCGTCTGTAAGTCAAGGGTCCACTGTATTTACATTTGTGAATAAGAAAACTTTGACAATTCTTTTGGATCAGAAAATGACTTCATGTAGTCTACCTTCATTTTTCCATGCATTAACCAGTCATTAGCCTCCATGCATTTAGCCATGCATTAGCCTCTTGTGTATATTACTCAGCAACCATCATTCAGAGACATGCTGAATACGCCAATCTTGTCTGGTTTCAGAAACTAAGCAGGGTCATGCCTGGTTACTACTGGATGGGCAACCATGAGAGAATATCGTACATCTTCAAGTAGGTCCAGAACCAAATCCTGACTGAAACCCTGGAAAGCTTCTACCAGTTCAGAATACATAACTAGATTGACCAATGGTCTTGGCCCTTTGAAAAGTGGTTTCCTGCTTTCTGTCTTCCACTTCTGTACATGGAAGCTTA